AACACGGGAAGTGCTGGATGCACTTTGAAAGTGCCCCTGAGGCAGATACTCGCATTCTGGTCGTTCATGTGGATGAGCTGGCCATGCTATTGCAGGAGCCAAGCTTTGATAGCCGGAGTCTCAAAATCTTCGTGAACTGCCTGGCCGACTACAACTGTGGGCAGAAGCCGCTGGGATTGGTGGTGCCGGTCATTACCCATACTTCGCCGGTGATATGGGATCCAAAGCCAACTGTAATACCGCTCAAGCATATGAATCTTGGTGCGTTCAGTTTCAACCAGTCGTTGGAGTTCTTTGCAGGCTCCCGAGGGAAGACGTCTGCTGTTAGATGACATATCCATGCCACTGCATGCGTTAAGTGCGCTGAGTTCCCTGAGGCATCGATGTTACGGACCTGGACTCCCGGCGCGCGATTAGCGCCTGTGGTGGTCACGCAGCATTGCTGGTGGAGATGCGTGAATTCATGGAACGGCAGAGTGGTGGACTTGGCCCACTGTTGACATGCAATCGAATTGACCTTCACCGGCAAGCCGTCAAAGCAATGGGCATGTCCAAGGAAGACAGCATATCATTGCTCAAGGTCATCCTCTTGCAAGAAGTTGTCCTCGAAGGCAGAATTCTAAGCTGTGCTCGGAGGGGTGTAATCCTCCTTGAGAGGGATGACGATGGGTGTCGCGTTTCAGTCCCATACCCATGCTTGTTGAGCCTGCTGCGGTTGCTGGATCGACCAGATCGTTTCGAGCACCTGGAGTGGACTGGCAACACTCCAGCAAAGAACAGCTGGAGTACGAAGGCATTCGAGGCTCTCTGTGCCATTCGGATTGCCATCGAAATGGAAGACTTCCCCTACGATTCGCCATGTGATCCTGACAGTGTAGCGACCAAATTCAAAAGAGAGAAGAAGTCTCGCGTCTGCCTTGCACAGAAACAGAACCAGGCAGGTGTGGACGCAATCGGGGTCGATGGTGACGCGATGATTTTATTGCAATGTAAATACCCAGAAACCGATTCCTCAGTGCAAGAATGGAAGGAGATTGAGCAGTTCATGAACTTCACAAAACAAACGGGTATGAAGTGGGCCAAGGCAGCAGGGTGCAAACAAATCCGTGCCATCTTTGCCACTGGGAGGGTACCGCGAGATTACAAGTCCAGCCAGCCAACTGAGCTTGAGGTGGACGGTGTGCATATCTCTTTCACAGTCTATGCGAAGACCGCAAACCAAGGAAGCTCAATCCCGACAATGCCGATCAGCACTTGGATTCCTGCCAGCATCATGTGCTTCTGACCGAGATGCCTTGACCGTGGACCAAACGCAAAGACGAGGGCAGATACAGTTTAATGAGTTGCGGAAGCATAGTCGCGAAACAGGATGTGCGGCGGCCTCTGCGTAAGAAAGATGCTCGAGGTTGTGGCATCCGGCTCTAGCGCTTGATGTGAAGGTGCATGTGCATGTACACTTTGTTGAGGCGTGCAGCAATTGGATGATGGAACTGCAAAGCGTCATGTGCCCTGCCGTTAAAGCACGAAATCTATGCTCGATGCCAGGTCTCAGCGCCCAAAGATGCATCCTGGCTTCGAAGTCAGGCTCGACCTTGTCTTGCTAATTCCAAGTTCGAATCATCCTACCCTACTTCCAGGATGTCGCAACATGATCGTATGTCAAGGTGCTCAGGCTGATAACTAGAGCAGTCCGGTCTTGGGAGCGGCGGCGAGGCTCGAATACAGGTACATAGTATCAGCGTGTACGCCCAGTGCATTTGCCCCCGCATCACGGCGGGAGGACATTGAATTTCGTTCAGTCTTGCATCATGGCGCAGATGACCCAGTCGCGAGTAGTATCAAGGTCACATCAAGGTTGCACGCAAATCTGGTTAGAGGGGTGTGAACCCTCAGTTTGTTGTTCTTGGTGCCTTCAGCTCACAGTCTTCAAGGACTTTCTTTCATGTTTTCCCTGAGCTGTCACGTTCTATTGTCAACGCAGTGCCAGGTGAGATTTCCGACTGGGACGAGCGCGCCTGGAACTCCCGCATCAACGACAAGGCGAACAGGCCCTTCCTAGAGAGGGGACTGCAGGAAGTACGACCCAGATCGAGCCCAGGCTGTGGACCGAGGGTCGTTGCTTTTTGGAGAGGCACGTGGAAAACGTCTCTCCTTCGACACTTGGCTGAGAGGAATATGCCGAAAGCCGCTGGTCTTTGCTGCTAGTCGTAAGGAGATGTAGAGGATCCTGAGACGCGATCTTGTGTGAAGGGCAACGGCCACGATTACCGATTCAGCACGAATCTCAGATCGTGGGTTCCTTACGGTGAAACCGTAGACAAAGTGTTCAAGCAGTGGAAGTCCAGAGTTTGCAGTGCTCATAGGTCTGTTGAGTCTGTAAGCATCGGTGAAAATTCGGCTAGTCTGTTGGAGTCTTTCTGGAATCTTTCGATTTTTGTGGAGTCACTTTGTCTTGGCGGAGTCTTTGCGAAGTCTCTGCCAAAGTCTCTGTGGAGTTTGACGGCTTTTCGGAGTGTTTGTGGAGTCTCTGCTGAGTTCACATGAGTTTACGGTACAGATTAGAGTCTCTGGACGCAGAGACGACGTCTGTACCGCAGTCTTCCCTGTAATTCAAACGCACCCAACCGGATCAGCGGAAGTCGAACCTCCAAACCTCTACCCCGCCAGGCCGCACTATGATCCAAAAGATTTTGCATGGACTTTGCGCGCACGTTCGGGCGTTCTAAAAGCCAGCCCTGAGCCTCCTCGGCCGCGTTTTGGAGCGAGTTCCGGCCGGAACCGGGAGGAAGGACTTACCACATGAACGAAACAGCCAGAGACTACGCTGAAACAAAACGCGGTTTGAAAAGCCAGATACAAGAGAGAGCTCGTGCGGTGTCTTGGCCGCAGGCAGCCACACATACAGGTGTGCTGCTTGTAACTGGGACATTTGTCTCGCTTGCGCAAGGAAGACAAAGTAGACATCATCGTCGTCACTGAGTCGTCACTACTAAACTTGTTAGCAACGTGAATGTATTGATTGTACTTCCCTCTACAGCAGCAGAGACAGAACGAAGAGAGTCATTCTGCGCATGTAGGTCAAGTTGGTTATTTTCCGGGCACGAAGCAATCTGCATGACATGCAGACTTGGGCAAGTGTCCGTGTTTTTCCCGTCGCCTGTGGCGAACACGCACCATCTGGATGGACTCGTTTTCTGTGGGAGCTTTGGAAGTGCCTGCAGAGCTTTTAGAAGGTCGATTTAGACTTGTTGCTTTGCTTGAAGAAGTGCCACGAAAATAACTTCCCCGACTGTTGATCAGAAGTTGCAGCTGCTGCCACGGAAGCGAGATTTTGTGGTAAGCTATTCTTTTTGATGCTTGAGTTAGCAAGCTGTTTCTTTTGACGTTTGAGTTGCCAGGAAGTTCATGTTTTCAAAAACTTGGCATTTTCCAATTGGGCCAGCAAGTTGTCTTAGTTGCCAATGACCAGTGCGTGGGAAAAACAAATTTCACAGTGACGGAAGCAGAAGAAAGCGATGTTTTTTAGCAAGCTGTTTTTTTGACGTTTGAGTTC